TCGGCTGAGTTGTTATTTCCATCCCCGGTATCGGGTGCGCTATTTCCCTCATTGCCACCTTCGGCTGAGTTGTTATTTCCATTCCCAGCATTGGGTGCGCTATTTCCTCCATCGCCACCTTCGGCGGAATTGTTGTTTCCATCCCCGGCGTCGGGTGCGCTATTTCCTCTATCGCCACCTTCGGCCGAATTGTTGTTTCCATCCCCGGCATCGGGTGCGCTGTTTCCTCCATCGCTACCTTCGGCTGAGTTGGTTCCATCCCCAGCATTGGGTGCGCTGTTTCCTCCATCGCCATTTTCGGCTGAATTGTTGTTTCCATCCCCAGGATTGGGTGCGCTGTTTTCTCCATCGCCAGCTTCGGCTGAGTTGTTGTTTCCATCCCCGGCATCAGGTGCGCTGTTTCCTCCATCGCCACCTTCGGCTGAGTTGTTGTCTTCATCACCGGCATCGGGTGCGCTGTTTCTTCCATCGCCACCTTCGGCTGAGTTGTTATTTCCATCCCCAGCATTGGGTGCGCTATTTCCTCCATCGCCACCTTCGGCCGAATTGTTGTTTCCATCCCCGGCATCGGGTGCGCTGTTTCCTTCATCGCCACCTTCGGCCGGATTGTTGTTTCCATCCCCGGCATCGGGTGCGCTGTTTTCTCCATTGCCACCTTTGGCTGAGTTGTTTCCATCCCCAGGATTGGGTGCGCTGTTTTCTCCATCGCCAGCTGCGGCTGAGTTGTTGTTTTCATCCCCGGCATTAGGTGCGCTGTTTCCTCCATCGCCACCTTCGGCTGAGTTGTTGTCTTCATCCTCGGCATCGGGTGCGCTGTTTCCTCCACCGCCACCTTCGGCTGAATTGTTGTTTCCATCTCCAGCATTGGGTGCGCTATTTCCTCCATCGCCTCCTTCGGCTAAATTGTTGTTTCCATCCCCAGCATTGGGTGCGCTATTACCTCCATCGTCACCTTCGGCTGAATTGTTATTTCCATCCCCAGCATTGGGTGCGCTATTTCCTCCATCGCCACCTTCGGCTGAATTGTTGTTTCCATCCCCACCATTGGGTGCGCTATTTCCTCCATCGCCCCTTTCGGCTGAATTGCTGTTTCCATCTTCAGTATCGGGTGCGTTATTTCCTCCATTGCCACCTTCGGCTGAGTTGTTGTCTTCATCCTCGGCATCGGGTGCGCTGTTTCCTCCACCGCCACCTTCGGCTGAATTGTTGTTTCCATCCCCAGCATTGGGTGCGCTATTTCCTCCATCGCCACCTTCGGCTGAATTGTTGTTTCCATCCCCAGCATTGGGTGCGCTATTTCCTCCATCATCACCTTCGGCTGAATTGTTGTTTCCATCCCCAGCATTGGGTGCGCT